ATCCAACCTCATTGGAAATCGGTCTGGGCCGTTAAATTGTAAGCCAGCCCAGCCCAAATCCAGCCTATTGATTTACTTGATAATTGGGCTTTACCTTGACACGTGGCCTTACCCTATTGGTTTATTTTAGGTGTAAACAATGCCCCCCAACACTTGGTTTTATGGGAATAAATCCAAGTGTTTAAATTTTAAATTACCTTTCAGATTCCAAAGGCCACGTGCAAAATCTGCTAAATTCCAAGATGATTGCAGCAGACATTCCTAACTTTTTCACAGCTGACTCTGTTTGAGCGCATCCAGCCATCCACAGCCAGTCATGGCCGCTTGATCAAACTTGTTCTTATTTTGGAATAAACGCATGAAAGCAAATCAACTTATTTATGCACAGACAGAAGTATGAACCTGGCTCAAACAGCTTCTTGGGACTCTAAGCCTCTTGCCTCCCAGACTGTGGGATAATAAGGCTTGAGATAAATTCCATTGATTTTTCTAGGATGAAGCTCTCCATCAAGTGACCCTAACCAATAAGCACCCCCTCTCAACACTTCATGAATTCGGAATGGTCCTTCCCAATTTGGAGAACATATCCCAAATCTGTGATCTTTCTTGTCAAGAGGTAAAATTGCTTTCCAGACCAAATCACCAACCGCCAGAATTTTACCTTTTACTCTCTTGTTGTAAGACTTTGCAATTTTGAGTTTCTGAGCTTGCAATCTATCCAAGGCTGTCAAACGTGAGTCTTCAAGGTCTTCAAGCTCAAGCATCATAGCCTCATCGTACTCTCCAGACTGGAGATTATGCTGAATCACCACTCTTAAAGACCTGGCTGTTAGCTCCATTGGCAAGACTACGTCATGGCCATATGTCAAGGCAAAAGGTGTCATTTTGGTTGAACTCCTTTGTGAAGTTCTATAAGCCCACAGTGTTTCAGACAATAATTCATGCCAGCGTTTGGGATTGTCATCCACCATTTTTTCAAGCAAATTAATCACCACCTTGTTAGAAGCCTCCGCCTACCCATTAGCTTGTGCATAATGAGGAGTAGAATTTAACAAACGGAAACCCATTTCCTTTGCAAATGCCTCCACTTGATGGTTGACAAAAACTGTGCCTTGGTCTGTTGTAATTGTTTCTGGTAGACCAAATCTGTGAATAATGTCCTCTTTGATGAACTTGATTACATAAGATTGGTCTACCTTCTTCATTGGTTTAGCCTCCACCCATTTGGTAAAATAATCCGTTGTCACTATAATAAATGAATGACCTTTTTGATGAAGGGGGATACACCTTACCAATTAAGTCAATAGTCCAGCCTCCAACTGGCCATGGTTTCACAATAGAATTAAGTTCAGAGGCTGAAACTCTTTGAAGTGGCCCATGGATCTGACAAGATTTGCAGCCCTTAGCATAAGCAATACAGTTTTTCAAGATAGACGGCCAGAAGAAGCCATGTCTGTGAATTAACCAACGCATCTTGATTCCAGCCTGGTGTTCACCACAAATCCCATCATGGACATCAGACAGCATCTGGAAACTTTCATCTGGACCCAGACAACGCAGCAGTAGTTCATCATTACCTCTCCTATAAAGTACATCCTCAATCAAGACATAATTGAGAGCTTGCATTTTGGTTTTCCTTGATACCTTAATGCTTTGATCCTTAAGGTACTGAATAATTGGAAAGCGCCAGTCCGTCTGGGTAACATCAATGCTGCAAGTGGAAACAGTCATGCCACGTTGATGAATTGATGGCAGACTGCGTTTTTCAACTATTACAACTTTCTGCATTACACCTTTTGGAATTCGTAGACCTGAAGCAATCTGGGCCATTTCATTAGCTTCGTAGTTCTGGTCTCTAGACACGTGTCTGATGGACACATCATCAAACTCTTCCAGCAATTGCACAGCTAAGGCAAAATAAGGGGCTAAAGCAAAGCTAGTACATTTGTACTCACCAAACAATTGCTTCAAGACTAACTGTGAGTCCCCTATAACCTCAACCATGGGTACTTTAAGCTCCACCAACATCTCAAGACCAATAATCAAAGCTTCATATTCTGCTTGATTATTTGTGCAATCAAAATCCAGCTAGAAAGACATTTGTGTTTTTAGCCCAGACGAGGAGATAACCACGACTCCAGCTCCAGACATGGTTTCTGTGCTAGATCCATCAAAGATAAGTTTCCAAGGAACTAAACTTATTGAAAACAAGTTAATCCCTTTTTCTTCATCTGCTTCCACGTCTAGACATGGATGATCTGCAAGAAAGTCTGCCAGTGCCTGCCCTTTGACAGCCTTCTGTGGTATATACTTCAAATTAAATTCGGACAAGGTCAGAATCCATTTACCTATTCGGCCTCTTAACAAAGGGCGGGACAACATATATTTGACAATATCAGTCTTGGCAACCACATACACCTCAGAATAAATCAAATAATGTCTTAATTTTATTGCAGCAAAAAAGAGAGCAAGACACAACTTTTCAACCGAAGAGTATTTCACTTCGGTCTGGGTCAAACAT